GTCTGAGATGAGACCTTACAAGGGCGCTGGGGGGCTCTGCCTGCCTCCTTACTGTCCCGAGGCCCAGGCTCCTCATCTGAACTGAGGTGGTCAGGCTGCTGTCCGGGGTTCTTAAACTTTGTTTCAAATCAAGCTTTGATTGAAAGTGTGCTGAAGATGCAGTTTGACCTACCAGCCCCAGGCATTCAGATTCCACAGGTCTGCAGGGCCCAGGAATCTGCATTTTTACCTATGTTTGGAGAAACCCTGGGCTAGATCTGGGTCCCCGATGGCAGACTTGCCCACTGCTGCCCTCAGGAAGTCCCACATTCTGTCACTGGGCATTTCTGGGGAAAACTGCTAATGATGCAATGAACCCAAGAGTCCAATATGAGTTCCCGCAGAGTGAGTGGGGCTCCTGCCTGGTTGCCTGTCCTCTCAAGGTCTTGGGGCCTCCTGCCTCCAAAATGGCACACAGTAAAGAGCTGTAGCTAAAAGAGGAATCCCGCTTTCTCTCTCTCCCCAGGCTGGCACTGGGTTGTCTGTGATGTCAACAGGGGATAAGATGATGGGATTTTGGGGAATTGGATTAGAGTACATTTACTTATCTAGGAACTGGGTGAATCCTCACTACTTGGTTGGCTGCTGCAGTGAGCTTGGCTGGGCCTGCAGGCCTGACTGCAGAGGCTCTGATGGACACAAAGACTCCAGTGAGTGAGAAGATAGGGTCTGAGCGAGGCGTGCTGGGCCCCATGAAGCCTGGCTTCCAGCAATGTCATCATCCCCTGAAGTGCTTGGAACATAATGGCTCTAGCTACAAATTCTATTAACTCTAATAGTTGTTCTGTGGTGAATGGATACTGCAGTTAGCAGAAATAGACCCGATCAATTTATATGAAACACATAAAATTTTCTCACTGAAATTGGCATCTGTTCTTGAATCATAGGAGCATGTGCTGAAATGGATAGTCTGTCATCCTTGCTTCTGGGCACATCAGCAGTGCCCTGGGTTAATTAGAGAGATGGGTCAAGGAAAGCTCTGGCTCCACTACACCATATCCCATCAGCCCTTAGAACCATGGAGCTGGGGATGGAGAGGGACCTGGAGACTGTCTGCTGCCATCCTTGACTTGTAAAGGTAGCAGTGTTCTTGCCTTCCCCTGTGTTCACATTAGCGCATCTCACATGAGCTCCATTACCTGTGGGCTCACTGACATGCCCCAGACATCAGGTGAGGAATAGAAGGCCATAAGGAGGAGGGACCCACCCCAGGACACCCCCAGGGCAGTGCACAGGGGTTCTGACTGCTGGTGCTGTGCTGTTTTTAAGATCATACAAATTTTTAATAATCTCTCCATCCTTTGGCAAGAGACATGCACTCAAGAAATGGTCAGCCAACCATCTCAGAAGCAAGACTGTGGTTTGATACCAGGGCTCCAGGAGTTACAGACACTTGTGGGTTGGGCTGGTTCTCACATAACCTGAGCTCATTCCCTCCCATCTCCCTACACACCCTGTGGGCTCAGGGAGCTGAGGCAGGGTCACTGGGCCCTGGGGGTCCTGCCTGTCATTTCCTGGGCTTTCGGGGGGTGTGGCTCTCACCCTTAATGTTCATTACTGCCTGAGGTGGGGTGACTGAGAGGTGGAGAGAGAATGTGAGAGGAGAGGAGAGCTCTGCAGCCCTGCCATTGCATCACCTGACCGCTTGATCGGTGTAATTGTAGGTGCAAAGCTGACAAATGCAATTTCCCCAGACTTAATACTTGCCCCGTTTTCTCTCTCAGTCTCTTCATCTGATTAGCTGCAGTGACTCAGGCTTCCGGGAATGCATCATGAAGCACCTGTGCAGGCTGTTCCCTGCTGGGTGCTCCAGTGTGTGAGCTTGGCCTGCAGCTGAGGCTTGAGGGGACCCCCTAGACCCAGAGCAGAGGGTGAGGCCTTCGTCAGTGGGGGGGAGGCTGGCTCGGGAGATGGGAGGTGTGTTTCAGGAAAAGTGGAAGCCTTGTGAGTGACCGTTTTCAAAAGACTCAGTGCGGCCTTTGCGGTTCTGGGAGTTGCTTTACTGCCTGCCAGGAAGAGAGCTGAAATGCCACCGGGCGCCCTTGTTCCACCCCAGCAGGAGTGGACAGCGTTGAACTTTGGGAAGAATATGATCACCTTGTCTCCTGCATCCTTAGCTGGAGGGCTGGGAGTGAATTTGTTTACTGGTCATGCAGAGGCTCTTTTCTGGGACACCCTCCCTGCTCTTCCATTTTCAGCGTTTATCTCTGATTGGACTCAGATACCTAGAAGTAGCTCAGCTGAAAGAACATGGACTTTGGGGTCACGTTCTGGCCCCACTCCCTGCCAACCAGCTGTCGGCTATTCTCCCGGGTCATGTTCATCTCAGGGGCTGTCCCTGGGCCGGAGCGAGGACCAGGTGAGCAGGGGGAACTGCCCCAGCCCGGGGCAGGTGCTCACTGGCCGCTCCTCTTCTGCCCTGTCCTGGCACCCCTTCTCCTGGGGCCCGCCCAGCTAGAAGCCCTGAGTTGGGTTCAGCCTCACCTTGCAGGCCTTGACCTGCCAGTTGGTTCACAGGCCACCCCTCCCTTGGACCAGAAGCTCCACAAGAGCAAGTATCTCCCGCGGGTGTGGCTACGCAGGCAGTGATCATTCCTGCGTGCTGTGGCCCTGACCTGGGCCTTTCTGGGAGCCCTCCTCCGCACGCATGTCTGTCGCTGCCGCTCCTGCCCTGCCTTGACCGTCTGTCTGCCTGGGTGCTTCTCCTCTAGACTGAGTCCTTGAGCTCCTGCCCCGGGCCTTGTTCCGGCCAGCATCTCTGAGCACAGAACCAGCCCCACAGGAAGTGCGTGAGAACTGTGGGTGGGTCCAGATCACAGTCGGGAGGGTGGGCCTCAGCACGGACCTGGCGTGTGGCCTGTTCTCCCTGCCTGTGGGCTGTGCCCTGACTTCAGGGGGCTTGGTGGACGCTGTCCTGTGGGCAGTGGGGAAAGGAGGCCTTGCCCCCTCCTCCCCACATCAATCCTTCTGATGAGGACAGACACACCCCACCATACACGGCCAGAGGTTTGCCGCAAGGTGAGGCAGGGAGGTGTGTTAGGCTAGGGGAGAGATGCCTGCTGCGGCTGGAGCCCAGTGGGGAAAAGGGCGTTGGGAGCTCGCCTCAGCTTCTCCCTCCCTGAGCTGCTCCCGATGAGCAGTTGTGGTCACTCCAGAAGGCAGTCAGGAGAGAGACCCACAGCTGACCCACAGCCACGTGCCCATCGCTGCTACTCTGAGGCTGGGGGTGGCCGGTAGAGGAAGCCCATGTTCCAGCCATTGTTATCTCCAGCCTCTCAGGCATGCACTTGCTTTTAATTTTGTTCAGAGGTGGTGGGGGAGCATTGCTGTTTTTGAGCCACTTCATTAGTCTGAGTGGCTATTGGGCAAGCCCTTATTGCTCAGCCTTTTAGGGACAGTGGGAGTTACATGGGAATAAACCCAGGAGTCAGGCAGGGTGGACTGCTGTTTCCTAAATGCTGGCTGTAGGGGGGCTGGCTGCTGACATCTGAGCACTGAGCTCAAGCATCAAGCGCCTACCAGTCAGTCAGTGTTTCTGGCGCCCCTGCTCATGTCATCAGTGCTGGTGGCTGCGCGGGGTGGGGCTTGCTGCCGTGTCTGCTTAGCAGGTCCTCAATCCATCACAGGGTGGCAGTGGTTGACCAAGGGCCGGGAAATGATGGAGATGAATCTTGGGGGTGGGTGGACGAAGGGGTGTGGAGAGATGAACGGAAGGCTGCCTCCTTCACGTTAGGCATTTTCATGAACCACAAGCAGTGTGGGGGAATAGAGATCACAGTTTGGGAGCCAGATTGCTGTGTGTGTGTGAAAATGAAAAGGGTTTTTTGAGAGTTTAGTTAAAAGTGAGAGAGAGGAAAGGGGAGAAGTGATGGGAAAAGCTTTTCCCATTTTTTTTCTCTTTCCCCTGCTTTGGCAGCTGGATTAGGCCAGGCAGGATTTGGGAAGCGATGAGACCTAGTCCTGAGGCAGCTTTTCAGGGGAGGGAAAAGAAAGGATTTCTTCAAAGGCTAACAAAGCTAACATCTACTTAATAAATTGAGAGTCAATGAATTTAGCGTGAAGGTATATGCTTCATTTTTCCAACTTTGCACTAAACAAGGACTTCGTGTTATAAGTAGAAATTAGAGATTTATCACTTTTGTACTGTTATTTTAATAAAGAATGCTCTTGTACAGGAAAAAGAGTGTGGGTGAGCTGTATAGGCCTGCTTCTTCAGATTACTCATGTTTGAAGAAGCCTTATAAACCCAGGCACCAGCCCCCATCTGGAGGAAGCCCTTGACCAGCTGGTAGGGTCCTGGTGGCCTTCAGCAGCTTCTCTGGCGCTAGGCTCACAGATTTAATAATTGGTGAGGAATATCATATCGGTTTGGAAACTGATTATGAGAAATTTCCTCCTGATGCAAACACATGGTTTAAGAAGAGAGGTAGAAGAAGCCTATGTTTGAAGCAAGAGCCTCCATGAGGAGCCGTTCGGCCTCGGGGATGCTAAGGTGAACAGCATTAGAGGGGAGCCAAGCTTTGGGAAAATGTGTTGAATTGGAAGCTTTGGGGGCTTTACCTGTGATGGGCTGGACAGCCTTGTGCAATAGACAGCCTTGTTCTTGGCTTTGGTCCAACCCTCTTTCTGAGAACTCTGACAGAGGTCTGCTTTGCTCAGTCAGTGAGGAGTGGTTTCAAGGCACTGAGCTGAGACAAGGAGACCAGCTCGCTTCTCTGTACCGGGGTCTGGGTATTCCTCAGGCATGGAGAACAGCAGCTCCTTTGCCCAACTTCCAGAAGCTACTTTTGCTCAGACAAGCCAGGGTGTAGATGATGTCTCCTCTTAAAGGTTGACTATTTTATTCTTTAATAATAAAATTTAAAAAATGCAGCTCTCCACCCCAATCACAGCACATACCTTTCTCCCATCCTTTGTGACAAAAATTTACTTTGCTGAAATTTGTTAAGTTGAATCCTTACCTGTAGGGTCAAAGATCGGGGTCTCTCTTGGTGTATTTTCCCAGGGCTTCAGCTCCTTGTTTGAGTTTCTCTCAAACAGATTTCTTGACTTGGGTGCTGTATTCTGTGGCATCTTGTCCTCCCCACTGACTAGAATAGAGAAGATGCCATGGGCTGAGTTAAATGAGGCTCAGTTTAAGGGAGAGAGGTGCGTATGCCCAGGGGAGGGTGGGAGAGACAACAGGGCTTGGATTAAGGAGGGATAGTGAGGCACAGAGCAGTCTGGGCTGGGGACAGGTGCCAAGGACAGGGTGGACTCACTGGTGAGGTAGCAGTCCAGGCTGATGGAGATGTTGTCAAAAGCCACAATGGCCCTGGATCCTTGTCCCCACCATGCGACAATCTGCAGCCAGAACCTGTATGTGTTTTAAGAGGAATGTGTGTAAGGAACAGCCTGGGTTGGTCATGTCTTAGGATTCAGCACCCAGCAGTGTGTACTTCTGCCTGCCTCATGACTGTCATTTTATCAGCCTTCCCTAATTTCAGAGCACTGGCCAGTAGGGAGCAGTCAAAGTCTCCCCTGACTTCTCCAGCACAGGACTTCCCCCTCTGAAGGATTGTTCCGTATGGTGGTCCACTTTGGAGTTTGGGGCTTGTGTCCAGGGCTCCCTCAAACTCTGAGGAGAGCTCTTTCAGTTTCTGGGCATGCAGGGTGGGCGGAAATGAGCAGACTTGCTGACCAGCTGGTGCTCCCCAGTGGAGTTGCAGTCATTATTAAAATACTGAAATGCTTGAGTAGTAACTGATAGGAGTAGCTGGCCCCTGAGCAGCCCCTGCTTGTTGCCTCAGGCAGCTGAGCTCCTTCCCTGCTGTCCCCTGGTTTTCCCCATTTTCTAGCAGCCAGAAGGTTAACCCCTCACACAGTGGAGGTTTCAAGGGTCTGGGGTCTTGTCCCACATCAGTTCCTTGGCATTGGTCTGTGAAATGCCTGACTGGTTGTCAAACACTAAATGATTTGACCCTGACCCCTGGGGGTATTTGTAACCAACACAGAGTGGGCTGTAGTGTTGAGAGATTATTGCTTTCTACCTCCTTCACCGCCTTGGATGATCAGGTCCTTGCACTGTGGCCAGGAAGGCTTTAAAGCTGGATAAACAGAAAACACTTTGGGTTCGCTTGCTCCCTGGGAAGTCATCCCCCTGAATGGCTGTTAGTCAACCAGCCTTTCCTGCTGTAAAGTGAGTTTCCCAAGAACTTTAAAAACCCTTCCCACCTCTCAGAAAGTCAATCCAGAATGTCCTACAGAAGAGTGCATGGTCTCTGATATGGATGTTAAAATACCCTTAAGACAGGGAATCCACGCCCATCAACTGAAGACTGGATAAGCCGCATGTGGGATGTTCATACAGCTGAATACTACTTCCCAGTAAGCAAGAAAGGACCAGGAGACAGGTTCTGATATGGATGGACCTCACAAACATTGTGCTAAGAAGCCAGACAACAAGGTAAAGACCTCATGATTTCATTCATCTAAGTGATCCCATTTTAACAAAATGTCTAAAATAGGTAAATCTGTAGAGATAGAAAGCAGATCAGTGGCTGCCTGGAGCTGGGAGTGGGAACAGAATTGACTGTAAACCAGCATCAGGGCTCTTTCTAGGGGGGATGGAGATACTCGACAGTTGGATGTGGTGCTCGCACAATTCTACAAATTGGCTAGAAGTCATTGGCATGTACCCCTAGAGCAGGTGAACTTCATAGTATTTCAGTTATAGCTCGACAAAATTGTTAGGAAAAAGGAGGGGGAGAGAAACGACAGTGTCGGCAGCATGGGGTAGCAAGAGCAGAAAACGGGAGTGTCGGCAGGAGTGGAGACTGGCAGTGTAGGGGGGGCCGGACAGAGAGTGCGCAGGAGGACAGGGAGCAGAAGGCGAGTGGAGGCAGGATGGAAAGAAACATGCAGGGAAAAGGAGAGCCATCCACGTTTGCAGTGAGGGCAGCAAAGCTTTATGCAGTCAGTGCGTGAACTGCCACTGGGCTGGAAGTGCCTGCCATGCCCAGGAGCGGATGACCTCTCGTCAACAGGTAGAAGGGTTAGAGGCTGACTTGGTTATTCCTGGCTTGAGAACAATGACGACATCCTGTGGGGGAAAGACTTGAAATCAAAAGCAAACTTTTATCTAAACAGTACATTTGTGATCGATTATTCAGAACTATTCAGTAAATCTGTCAATGCTTTCACCCATCTTGTGAAATCTGGTCATTCACAATTAACCCTTCCTGGAAGGTCACAACTACAGGGCCCACCACAGATGCCCTTCAGGCCACATTACCCATGATGGGGTCCACGTGCCCCTCATAGGACAGACCAGCATGGAGGGCTGGTGGTTGGGTGGGTGCAGAAAGAGGAGTGCCCAGTGGGGGACCCCAAACCCTGCCCTGGGACTCTGGGCACACAGGATGAGCACCACAAGAACCCCCACCCCATGACTTGTCCAGCCAGCTCTTGGCACTTAGGCAGAGGCCTCTGAGTGGCATCTTCCTATATGACTTTGGTGACCATCGTGACCTTGATTATGACCCGTGGAACCAATTTTCAGTTCACACACATCTATGGAGCACTGGGCCCTATTTTAGGCCTATGGGGGATGCTGCATCTCAGTTGCTTACTATCTGGTGGAGAGAGGAAGGGTGTGCATCAGGGTAGAATAAGGCAGAAGGAGGGGAATGCACAGGGGTGGTATAGATAACATGCTGAGTTCAGAGACCAGCGTTCCACCAGGCTGGAGAGATGGGAGCACCTCACAGAGGAGGCGGTGTTTCAGCTGCCTTTGGAGGAAGGAGAGCGCTCAAGATGTGGATGTGGGCATGGGCAGCAGTGAGGAGAGGGGGTGAGAGACAAGCAGAGCAGAACAGGGCCCCTCTGGCTCCGGTGGGAGGTGTTAGAGGGAGGTAACAATGGTGGGGGGCACTGGTGTTGCACACACCAGCATCGGGTTTCTCCACGAGCCTTGGCACAATCACAGCCATGGTTTCCCCAGATCCCACAGGGTTTGGGGGGGGCATGGTCCATAAATGAGTTCCCAGTTTGAGCTGGTGTAACATCGAGCACAGCCAGGGCTGGATTCTCAGCTGGCAAACGGGCCCTCATGCTGCTGTCTTACAGCAGGGCCAGGGGTAGGAAGATGTTGCTCATAGGTAGCAAGAGAACAGGCACTTAGAGCTACCTGGAGAAGGTCACTAGAAAAAATCATGTTCCTGGGCAAAGAGCAGCAGGTAAGGGCCCACGGTGCACCTTTCCGATTATCCACTTTCGGTCACCATCCTCTACCCTGTCACCCACAGGCCCAGGGGCCAGGCCAGCACTGATTTCATGCTGAGCTGCATCAGGTGTGTGCCTTCCTGGAGGGCCTGCAGTGCCCAGGTGAGTAAATTACATGTGTGCACCTACTGAGCATGGGGATGAAGAAGAAAATCCTTGTTGTCCCCTAAATAGGCCCTTCCAGGGAAGTTGCTCATTTCCCCTCCCTCTCCTCTCTGCTGTTCTGCCCTTTCTCTGCCTTCCTTCTTTATTACTGAGAGATTAGAACTACAAAGTTCTTAACCAGCTACAAGGCCTCTTAGCGTGGATGGTATGATGCAAGCTGGGGCTGGATGGTTTCTAAATAGAAGAGTTTCTAAAGTGCTCTCCAAGGCAACGACAGTGGCAGCTGCTGCTTAAAAGAATTTGATTGACACTGGGAATTGCACATATTTTGAGTCAGGAACATTCATAACAATCAGGAAAGACTTAATCAGATGTCGAATCAGATGTAAACATGCAAAGCTGCCTCTGTCCACCCAAGAGGCAATGCTCCCAACCCTTCTCCAAGCGCTCCAGATTCCAGAGGCTGTAAGGAAGGAACAGGTGGGACAAAGGTGGGTCACGCTAGGGTGTGAGGAGGGCAGGGGTGAAAAGAGGCGGTCTGGGAATGGGGTCAGGGATGGAAGGTCATGGTGCAGGGAGGGGACAGCAGAACCAATGTTAGAGTTTCTTTTGTAGGGAGGCACTGGGCACAAGAGTAGGTGGCCATCAGGCCTCCCCTAGATTCAAGCTTCTCTGCTTTGGATGGTACCTGGTTGTGTGTCTTTACCTGAACCTTAGAGGGAGAAGAGTTTGCTCCTGGTTGTATCCACCCTTTCCCTGCTAAAGATGGGGGAGACTTCCTTAGGCCTCTCAAAGTCTTTCTGGTCCAGTTATTCTTTCCAGTTAAGGTCTCCCCACCAAAAAAAAATGTACAGATGCCAAGTCACTCTTCAGAGTCAGCCACAGCCTCAGGTCCTGAGTTCTCGCATGTGCCAAGCATAGTGCTCTGATTGAGAGGAAGTTCTAGTACGTACCAGGCAGACTGCTCTGGGTCTGGGGCAAAGCAAAGCCCATGCCACATTACTGCCAGGATTACAAAGGGTAGGTGGTGCTAGAAAACATATGGGTTACTCTACTGCCCCTTATCCCAAAGCCTGGGCTGCGTGTGGGGGAAGGAAGCCGAGCATCCGTGGCTCGAAGAGTGTGGCCCTCCATCTCCATGGGCAGCCTGGTCACGGAGAGGGGAAGAGCCAGCTTTCTGGGGCTTCTCCAGCTCTCCCTAGCCTGTGCTATTTTAGAGCCTGGCAGCAGAGCTCCCCTTTTTCTATCCCTCAGCAGGGCAGATCTCACCCTTTGCCCCTCAGTGGTTCACACCTGCACAGCTCTTTCAGTTTCTCTAAAGAAGACACTTGATTGCATGGGCTCTTGTTGCTTTTTCTCTCTTTTCCAGTCGGTGGGGTTTGGAGATTGTTGCAAAAACAGACTTGGCTAGAGATCTTGGTTGGAGCCTGGCTTTGCATAAAGAATGCACCTTCTGACTCTTTCTTGCTCAGCTTTACAGAGAGGCCTGTTGGAAACTGGCCCAAGAGGCAGCCACTGGGGCAGTGGGCCAGGTAGAGGGGGCGGCCTTAGAATTGGGTTTCTCCCAGACTCACTGGGCAGATCTCTACGTCGGAAATGCTGATGCTGCTCACGCACAGCTCGGGAAATGCACAGTCTCATTCAGGCAACAGACTGTTAATGGGCAGTGAATATAATGCCTTATTAGCCACCCTGTCAGCCTTAGGGATTGACAAACCTAATTAAGATCACTTACTGATTTTAAGTAGCTGACAAAAAGATGTGTGTCTGAATGTGGACTGAGGGAACAGGAATGCTTTGGAGAGACAGCAGGCAGGAGTGGCTGGCCTGGGTAAAAGGGATTTATTTAACGGATGGGCACCACATCCCAGATTCCTCTGTTGACCATTTAGTGGGCTCAGAAGGAGGGTGTGTTCTGCATCCCTTTTTGCAGCTGGGGCTGGTCCGGGCTCTGGCTGCTTAGGACTGAGCTGGCAGAGATGGCTGGGA